TCCTCAGCTCAAGGCGAGTGCTCTACCTAATGAGCCATAGCGCCATTTCCAGTTCTTCTAGTGGTTTTTATTGGAGATAAGAGCCTCACGGACTTTCCTGCCTAGGCTGGCTTTAAACCACGATCCTCAGATCTCAGCCTCCTGAGTAGCTAGGATTACAGGCGTGAGCCACCGGTGCCCAGCTTGTTCCTTTGCTTTTTTGCTCAAGATTGCTGTTCTACCACTTGAGCCACAGCTCCACTTTTGGCTTTTCTCTTAGATATAAGAGCCTCATAAACTTTGCTACCTGAGCTAGCTTTGAACCACCATCCTCAGATCTCAGTCTCATGAGTAGCTAGGATTACAGGCATGATCCACAAATGCCTGGTTTCAGAGCTAATGTTCTGAAAAGCAAACTTGGAAATGGGATAGATAAGATTCTGGGTTCTAGACTGTATCTCTCATTAGCTTCTTTCGGTAACCTTAGGCTCCGTGGCCTCAGTTTCCCCAGCTGTCAATGGAAACAGTTGCCTCCTAGCCTTGGAGCTATAAGAGTCCCCAAGTAGGAGACGCTCCCTCCTCCCAGCAGTGGCTGAACAAACCAAGATCTCCTTCCAGCTCTGAGCCACCAGGTATCAGAAGTCTAAACCTGACCCTCTGAGGTCAAGGGTGGAGGCATCCAGTGCTCTGAGTTTCACAATCAAAGGAAGGCAACTTCCAAGCACTGTGGCCTCAACTCTAACTTTGCACTGTTCAGCTCACTGTTCAGCTCAGTTTCCCCAGCTACCAAGGTACATGCTGCTGCTGATGATGATGATGAAGATGACAATGGTCTTTATCTTCAGGGATAATTGGAATTAGAGCTGAAATAGTCAGGTGAGGACCTCAACATAGGCCCACATGAATGAAGCAATTATCTTATTAGTAAAGGTGACCAGGACCAGTTAGGAAAGCAAAGGAGGCTGAGGGACTGGCATGCAGCCGATTCATTAGCACCTCTGGCCTCAAGAACCCAGAGAGTGCAGGCTGGAGACTGTGGGCTGGAGAGTGGAGCATCAGAACCCTTTACACCAAGGGACCTGGAGGAAAAACAGAGGCTAAAGCCTTGAGTCCTGTGACCTGCCCAGGAGAAGAGTATGGTTGGCAGAATACAAGACAGCAAGGTCCAGGAGGAAGAGATGGGAAATGGGGCCATACTTGGGACAGGGGGTCTCATCTGAGCTAATCCAGGCAGGCAGAGGAGCCAACCAGAAAGAACCATTTCCTACAGATGCCAGGATATTACTCTGCTTCCTTCCCCATTTTAGCCAGTACTGTCAGTGAGGATGTCCACGAACTCTTCATGGGGTCACTGTACAAATCAGATTGAAGGAAGCCTTATTAAAAACAAGGCCAGCTGGGCTCTAGTGGCCCATACCTGTAATCCTAGTTACTTGGAGGCTGAGATCTGAGGATCATGGTTCAAAGCCAGCCCAGGCAGAAAAGTCCATGAGACTCTTATCTCCAATTAACCTTCCCCCCCCCAAGAAAACAGAAATGGAGGTGTGGTTCAAATAGCAGAGCACCAGCCTTGAGTTAAAAAAAAAGCTAAGGGAGAGCATGAGGCCTTGAGTTCAATCACCAATAGCAGAAAAGAAAAAAAAAAAAAAGGAAAGAAAAAGGCCGAGTTTAGCATCAGTGATTCACACCTATAATCTGGGAGACTGATTGGTCAAGGATAGCCCGGGCAGAAAAATAAATTTCCTCAAGACTAGAAGAGCTGGATTCAAAGGCATGCACCTGTTATCCTAGCTACCATGAAGCCTAATATAGGAGGATCCCATCACCCCTGGGCAGGAAGTAAGAACTTATCTGAAAATTAACTAGTAAACATCAGGACGAGTGGTATGGCTCAGTAGTAAGAGCACTACTTAGGAAGTATGAGGTCCATGGGCTGGGAAGGTGGCTCAGTGGTAGAGCACTTGCCTTGCATGCCAGAGGCCCTGGGTTCGATTCCTCAGCACCACATAAGCAAAAAAGACAAAAAAAGCAGGAAGTATGAGGTCCTAGTACTACCAGAAAGAAACACAAGACACAACAAAACAAAACCAAGAAAGTCCAGGCGCTACCATTTCTGAGCTGTGCGAACTTGGGGGTGAGACTCTCCCATTGGGGGCTACAGTTTTCACACCTGTAACATGAGATGAATCACAGAACCCGCCTCACAGCACTGGCCTGAGCATTAAATGAGATAAGGCAAGTTCAGAGTTAAAAGCCACGGTTCAGAGCCAAGCAGCCACTCAACAAACAGAAGCCAAAATAAACAGGTATCATTTTTACCCTTACTACACCTGATAAAAAGAGTGAGTGCCTACAGTATGGAAGAATCAGGAAGGTCAGAAGACAGAGGGGGCAATCATAGCTCAGCAGGAACAGTGGAAAAGAGAGAGGTAACCTCAGGAGCTTCTATGAGGCCCAGGGAGGGGAGTGACTCCAGCCCTTGGCAACCATTACTCCCAGATAAGAGACAATGTGCCAACCCAACCAAGCCTGGCACCAGTGGCTCACGCCTGTAATCCTAGCTACTCAGGAGGCTGAGATCTCAGATTGTGGTTCAAAGCGCCAGGCTGGGCTGAGATGCTTATCTCCACTTCACTACCAAAATGCCAAACGTAGAGCTGTGGCTCGGGTGGTAAACTGCCAACCCTGAGTGAAAAAACTAAGGGTCAGGGCTCAGGCTCCGAGTTCAAGCCCTGGTACTGATAACACACAAACCAAGGACTCAGCTAACCCTCATCCGCACTTTCTCATCTCTGAATACACACAAAGCCATGGTACCAGCTCATTTTTGCCTTCCTTGCTAGTGTGGCAGTGGCCAGAAATCCTCGAGGGTCTGCTGCCTCCACCAGGGGAACCAGCCCCTCTGATCATGGGGAAAATGACACCCAACTGCTAGGAGGAAATGGCTGAAGACCAGAAAGTGGCTTTCCCCAGCTGGAGGGGGCAGGGAAGGGGCGGAGTCAAGCTTCAGGGATAGTGGATATCTATAACTAAGCCAGCCACCTCCCACCAAGGGAGGGAATCTCCACCTCCTCAGCCCTAAGGCTCTGAGCCCACCTGACTTCATCCATGAGGGGGCTACCCCCATCGTCAGGCCTCAATGGCTGTTCCCTGCCCTCCCCTCCTCAGATGAACTCGTGGAATTTCCTGCTCCAGTTGGCTTGGAGCTTCAGTCCTCAGATCTCAGCTTCCTATGTGTAGCTAGGGTTATAGGCTCTGGCCACCAGCACCTGGTCCTAGATAGAAATTCTTCTACTGAGCTAGTCTCCCCCCCCACACACACACACACAACACAACACCCCACACCATCTCCCCTTCCCTGCCCTCCCCCAGTGAGTTCTTTCAAGACTGAGACACAAAGCAGGACTCCTCACAGCCTCACAAGGTGGGAGTTGCAAGTTCAAACTCAGTGTCCGCCTGACACATTGATGGTGCCCGGCCAGTCAGCTGAGCAGGAGGGCGAGTTCCTGTCCTCCCTGGGCCTCTACACTTGGGACTGGATTTGCAAGAGGCAGAAAGAGAAGAAGGTCATATAGGGTATGGGGGGGGGGGGGGCGGGTGGAGATGATCAAGAGAGGCCCCCCGAGGGCTAGAACATGATTGGGCATTTGTCCAACTCCCTCCCATTTCTCACCCAGCGATCTGTCTCTTCAATGAACCCTTCATTTTCAGCAATTACTATTGACAACTAAGAAAACAAGAGGTTCAAAGGGGAGGGGGGGATGATTTGTTCAAAGTCACAAGACTTGTACTCCAATCTCTGATCTGGTAGGCCAAACGTGGAAAATGCTAGAGAGGCCATTTCAGGAAAGGCAGAGGAATAGAGAAATCACAGACCCTCTGGGACTCAGCTACACACACACACACACACACACACACACACACACACACCCCTGTGCACACACATGTCCTGAGTCTACTTGAACTCCTGTGCCTACATTTCTGCACACCAGGAACTCTCAACTTCCTGAGGAAGCCCTGGACATTGAGGCTCAGCCTCTGGATTGTGGGAAAAAGTCTTCCTCATTCTGGGGGAATGCTAGCCAAAATGGCCTGCCTCCCTTGTTGGCCCTTGCTGACAAGAGCAGTGACATTTAGGGGTAATACACACCAGCACCCTGAAGGGTGAGAATTTGACCCCTTGGGACCTGCTTGGATTCCATTCATGGCGTTTGCTCAAATCTCTCTGTGGTCAGTCTTGGCACAGAGCCAGCCTTTGAGCTTCCAAGATAACCTGATCCTGTAAAAGGGGGGTGGGGACCCCTGGTTCCCCACGGAGCCCTACAGCACCCTCTTTCCTCCCACCCTACCAGGTATCCTCAGTGGGTGACACAAGCTTCCCCAGGGCCCTGGCCCAACCTAAGGCAGGCTTCCTGGGGTGCCTGCCTTCCACCAGCCAGGGAAGGAAGTCCTGGCCCTCATCCTCACCCCCCACCCCCACCCCCAAGGCAATCCCAGGCATCAAGGAGTTTCCAGATGAGGGTTCTTTTACTGGAGGGTTCTGTTACTCCCTTCAATGAGCCCAGTCTCCTGCTCTGGAGGGGCAGAAACTCTTTCCCCAAAACCACTAGAGCTGTGGGCCTGGATATCTATCCTGGGCTGCAAACCCTGCTCGCCTCTTGCAAGTCCACCCATCTATCCCCTCTACCCAAGAGGTTGGGGGGGCAGGGGAGAGGAGCTGATGTCCCTGAAAGGGGAAAATGTGTTGGGGAGGTAGCCAAACAGTAGTAGCCAGGACAGAGAAAGACAAGGTTAAGACAAACCCAGGTTCCACTTAGACTATTTTATAACCAGGACACTGGGTAAACTGAGGCACGAGGATCGAAATCAGAGAACCCGGATTCCCTCTTGCCTGGCAGGAGGAAAGGGGTCTGGGGGAGCATCTGGGGCAATTGGGGTGGGGTGTCCAACAGATGGAGGCTCCTGGACCCCTGGTACCCAGGGTGGGCCCAGGGTGCCGGAGGTCAGGAGGTGGTGCCTACCCCTGGCAGGCCGGGTCCGGCTGCGGGAGCGGCTCCTCTGTCGCTGTAGCCGAGGTCGCCTCAGCAGTCGATAGTAGTAGGAGGACCTCCCGATGCTCTTCCTGGCGCTGCCGCCCGCGGACATGCTGCCGCCCGCCGGGCACCGGGGCCGGGCCTGGGCGCTCACTCGGGCCCCATCGGCCGCTCCGGACGACCCGGCGGGGGGCACCCCGATTCCGTCCCCGCGCTCCGGGGCAGCCGCCGCTGAGATGCACACTGCCCCACAAAGTCGCTCAAACTCCGCCTCCCCGCTCCGTCCCCGCCCCCGAGCCGAGCAGCCGGCTCCTCGGCTGGGGCCCTGGACCGGGAGGGCCGGGCTGGCACCGGCCCCCGGAAAGTCAGTGCGGGAGAAATCCCGGCCTGGAGTCGGCGAGGAGAGGCGGCCCGGACCCCCCCACCTCCTTTCCCCGGCGGGACCCCAAGAGGGTCGCGGCCCATGGCTCCCGGTGCCTGGCTGGAGGCGGCCAGGGACCCTCATCTCGCCTGCAGGTGGTGGATGGTGCGCCCTGGGCGCACGCCCTGAAGCCAGGTGGACACCAAGCCAGGAAACAGTTACTTCCAAACAGGGTCAGGAAAGAGGCTGCTACCCTGGACCTTTCTACCTTTCTCAAGCTGACAACGCAAACACCCGGCTGGCCAGGCAAGCATTCTCTCGCGCCAGGATACTTGCCTAAAGTTGCCCTTTTACAGATTGTCCCATCTGATACAAATTGGATTTTTTTTTAAATCTTTATTGAAAAGATGGTGAGAGGGGTTGTGACAGGGTTTACTGTTACCTAAGGTGATGAGTACATTTTAATTTAGTTTTATTTTCAAAGTGATGTACAGAAGGGTTACAGTTACATAGCTAGAGTAGTGAGTATATTGTCAAACATTGTTACCCTCCCTTATTTTTTTCCCACTTTCCCTCTACCCCAATCCTCAACCTCCCCAAGTTGTAAAGTTCATTTCCAACATATGGTCTTGTGAGTTTCACTGCTGCATTGGTTCAACCTTTGTCCTTTGTCTCACCATTTTATTAGCTTTTATTTATTGGGGTTTGGGGGGATTCTTTTGAATTTTTTATTATCTTTTAAGTCTTGTACAAAGAAGTTCCCATTCTACAAAACTGTATATGCATACAAAGTGTCTGATAACATTGTCACCCATCCCTCCAAACCCATCCCTTCTCTCACTTTTTTTTAATTGAGATTAGGTAATTACATAAATTTCACATATTTCACAGTATTGTGGAATAGTGATACTTAAAGTCACAAACACATTTTAACTTTCACGAGGCAAATTGTTTTTAAACTCACTTGATACTCACTATGTTGGAAATGAACTGGACAAGTTGTATTTTTATAGTGAAGATTATGGTACTTCTTTCAAGGGGGAAAAAAAAACAACCCAGGAATATAGTTCACACCTGCGTATCCAACCCAACCATTTTGCCCCCTTTGGATGGGGACCTACTCCCTCCGAAAAAACCACTGCAGATGTGGGAATGGTGCAGCTACTCTGGGAGACAAAAACAATGCCTAACCCTAGAAACTGGGACTGCAAATGGAGGCAAGAAACAGGCTGGAGGGAAAGGAACTTGCCTCTGATGCATTCACAGAAAATGTTTCTCCAAGTTACTTACTCCCCTACTTCAGGAACCCTACTTCATGGCTCCCCCAGGGCACAAGGGAAGCAAACCCAACCATTCTTTGGTGACTGAAGCTTCCATAATCTAAGCCCAGCCAACCCATCCATCCCCCCTGCATCTCCCCTGCTCCTCCGATTTCTCACTGTTCTCAGCTGAGGGACGACCTGCCTTCCCTTTTCTCCCTTGTCCTGGCCCTCACCATACACCACCCACAATTGAAATTGTTAAGACAATCCCTTATCTGACCTCAAGTACAGAAGGGGAAACTGAGGCCCTGAAGGAGATCTGACTTGCCTCCACCGCAAGATAGTGGTTGAGTCTGGGGCTATCCACAAGCAACTTGGGATAATGGAGGTAGTAACTGAGGCAGTCTCTGTGTCTTCTTTCAGAGCAATTGGGAAGGTGGGGCCTGGCAGGGGGGCGGGGGTGGAGAGTCTGGGCAGGAATCCAGGCCATGTTTTACTCTTCACAGGGGAAGCCCCCTCCTGAGCTCTCAGTCAGGAGGGAGGGCCTCTTGGTCAGGAGGAGCCAGGATCACAGCTGGAAGCCAGGCACCAACCCGGGACCAAGCTGGGGGGGGGGGGGGGGGGGGGAGGGAGGGAGGCAGGATGGCTCTGGAGGGTATTGCTCCCCCAAACCCAGCTGTGGAGTCCAAAGCCATCCACTGCCCTTGCCCCTCTTTCCAGAACATGGCCAATCCCACAGGAAGATGGAAAACCACTATCCCCACCAGGATATCACAAACCTCCTGTGGATTAAGTCCTCCTTTCCTACTGCAGAAGTGACCCCGGGGCCTATTGGGAGACCCTGGGGGAAAGAGCTTGCACAAACCAGCGGTGAACCCACTCAGAGCTGGCTTGTTCTTCCAGCCAAGCCACTAGAACCCACCAGAGCAACACCCGCCAATGTGGAGCTCAGAGCCACCCAGCTACAACTTATTCGGCCAGGCCTGCCAATTAAGAGAGTACCTCACAGAGTGAGAACAAAAAATCCAACTCCAAGGAGGCTATTAGACTTCATGTGATCCAGTTTTCTTCCCAAAGAAGGTACTCCCAGCTCAGCCAAGGAAGGAAGGCAAGCTCCCAGCTAGCTAACTTGGGGGAAGAGGTGGGGATAATGTTCTGGCCTGGTCCCCCAACAGCTTTAAGTTTATGTGGAGAAAGAGCTGAGAACTCAGGACCTCATCTGTAAACAGCCGGACTCCAAAGATCTGGCCTGGTCTCTGCTTCAACTTTTCAAGTCCTCCTCCGTGCCTTAGTATCCCAACCTCCAAGGGGAGAGTCTGGGTGCCTGATCTACCTGCCGTACTAAAGGGTGATCAGTCTTCATTCCTGGCCTTAGGATGGCAGTAGCACTAAAGACCCCACTACCACCACCTCTCCCCCAAACACAGCATTTCTGCAAGCCTGGTGGGATACCAGGTAGATTTGGAGGTTGGGGTGCTGAGAACAAAGGAGGCCAGACATTCCCTAAGAGAGAAGAGAAAGCAGGGAGCCAGCCCCCACCTTCCCCAGACCCCTGGGCAGACAGCAGGCAGGCAGCAGACAAAGGCTGTTCCCAGAGCCACAGCAGAGCATCTGGAATCAATCCTGCCTTGGAACTGGCGCCACCCCCACCTCCTCCCTGTGAAGAGGGACCCTTGAGGCCTCCCCCTCCTCTGAGCTGAAGAGGCCTTCATCCTCCAGAGCCTAGGCTGAGGTGGGAGGGGCCCTGAAAATGCCTCCAGCACCCCCACTGTTACCACTGCTTTCTGGGGCTGACCCCAAAAATAATCCACTGAGGATGCCTCACACGCCAGGAAGCCCTCCATGATGGACTCCTTCCTACAAGAGAGGCTTTCCCAGGCCCTGCTGATCTGATCCAGGAACCTTCCTTCAGGCGTAAGGGGCTAGAAGTCTGGTGTTAGCCTCCTACCCTGTCTCTTTTCCAGAGGGCTCCTGTGAAGGCCAAATCACCACCTCCCACGAACAACTTTGCACAGATGCCAACACGCAGCCCCCAGAAGCTACCCAGCTCCTCCAGTTGACATATTTCTGGGGTTTCCTCCCTATGCTTGATTCTATTGGGTTAGGAAGGGGCCTGGAAAGGTGTAACTTTAGGAAGTACCAAGCAGAGAAGGGGGCTTGCCCAACCCACCATCACCTTCACCCCCTCCTTCAAAAGCCTCCCAGAGGACCAAACTCTACCACCAAGCAGTACCCCCCCACACACCCCCTTGTTAAGCCTCCCTCCCCCACTGGCTCCCCCTGAATCTGACCTTCTGAGGCTCTTTTTCATTTTGGCTTTGCCCTGCTGGTAGAATGGCAACCACCAAGCTCTTGGAAATACCAAGGACTCATGGACCCAAAGAATTTCCCTATGGACAGAAAACAACAGAAAGTAGAATTCTACACCAATGGGACGGAGGTGGTGGGTGGCATTAGAGCTGGGGTAATGTTCACAGCCAGGTCAGGAGGGGCCTCAGTCCTGGGCAGTCCAGAAACCTACTGTGGTAGGTTTCTGTGGAAGAGAAAAGGAGGAAGAGGAGGAAGAGGAAGAGGAGGAGGAAAAGGAGGAAGAGGGAGAAGAAGCAGAGAAAAGGAAGGAAGGAAGGAAGGAAGGGAGGAGGGAGGGAGGAAGGGAGGGAGGGAGGGAGGGAGAGAAAGCAGAGGAGGAGGAGGAGGAGAAGGAGAAGCCCACAGCCACGCCCTGTGGCTCAAACCTATTATCCTAGCTACTCTGGATGCTGAGATCTGAGGATCCCAGTTCAAAGCTAGCCTACACAGGAAATTCGGTGAGACTCTTTTTTTTTTTGGTCTGTCGTGGGGCCTGAACTCTGGGCCTGAGTGCTGATCCTCAGCTCTTCAGCTCAAGGCTAGCATTCTACCACTTGAGCTACAGCGCCACTTCCAGTTTTCTGGTGGTTTATTGGAGATAAGAGTTTCCCGGACTTTCTTGCCCGGGCTGGCTTTGAACCGCGATCCTCAGATCTCAGCCTCCTGGGTAGCTAGGATGACAGGATGACCGGCGTGAGCCACCGGCACCTGTCCTGTGAGACTCTTTATCTCCAAAGTCTATGAGCTATGGCTCACGTGGTAGAGCTCTAGTCTTGAGCAGCGAGAGTGAAAGGACAGTGCCTAGGCCCTAAGTTTGAGCCCCAGCACACAGAGCCAAAATTGCCTTTGAAAAGCCTGCAATGTCCATATAGCACAGTTTTTGCAGGTGTTAAGACAGATCACCTTCTTCTTCCGCTGAGTGCAAGGCAGAAGGGCCTGGCCTCCATGAGAGGGAAGAGAAGTGCTCAAGCAAGAGTGGAGGGAACCCAGAAACCAGGACTTCCCAACAGAGCAGGGGCACAACTTGACGTCAAAGGACCATGCGGGGGGGGGGGAGTGGACCTGATGCCAATAACAGGAACAGAACTGCATTTCACCCACACCATATGCCAGCCCTGCCCCCAGCATTCCATGTACATTATCTCATCTAACTTCATGATGACCCTCAAAAGAACAGAGAATGGGGGAGAGGGAGGGAGGGATGGAGATCTTCAATGGAGATAGGACAGGTTTCTAAGGTCACAGGGCTTGGACTAGGAGTCAGCATTTGAACCCAGGGCACTGGAAAACACAAAAGTCTTAAAGTTGAGTAAGACTTAAT